ATAACAAAAATAGAACTATGTTGGATCATCACTACTCTGTTTTTAGTTTTTAGAACTGTTTCATCCACTAGTAAAATCTAAAGAGTAACATTAGATTTGCCAATTGCAAGAACTACTTTATTGCTAAAGAAATAAAGCAATAAGCACTATAGAAAACAAGTTTACACATAAGAGTTTGCATATGTGTATATATATATGTGAAAAACCCAGTTAACAGTTCTAAACTAGAAATGCCTAAACAATGTGTAGATATTAAAACTCAATTTTCTGCATTTTTAGTTAAAACATCTGGAAACTAAGGGTATAGAAAAAGGAAAGGCAAAAACTAAAGTTTCAGAATCTGGGTAAGCTACATAACCACCAAAGCATACACATATACTTGCAGCTACCTGATAGTCCTGACATTGCATGCAAATACAGCTATCAGCTACCACTAACAAAGATTTTTTCCAAAAACAAATGTGAAACAGTATTAAAAGCAGTTATCAGATCAAAATTTCTTTTCCCTCCTGATTTAAACGGCAATTAAAATAACGAGTTGAATAAAGCTACCCCTTCCCAAATGTGAATCCTAATTGCAGATGGCTCTATTTTTCAGAGCACACATCTCGCACACATCAATGGTCAGACTGAAAGCCGTCAGCATCATTGGTACATTTCATTTCATTTCATCTATCTGGGCTGATCAGCTCAGCCTCCAGAAACAGCCAGGGGAGGGGGAACACCAACTGTCTGGCAAGAGCCATAAAGAACACCTCATTTTCCACAAGCCCACGTTCGCTTTTCAACCATTTTTGCTGCCTATTTTCTTTTCTTTTCTGTACTTGTCTTAGACAGTTATACTACTCTGTTTTGATTTTGTAGGCACAAAACAAAAGATTTGAATAAAAGCCAAATTTTCCCTGACTTTTTGTACACTGTGCAAGATTTCAGACAGAAGAGTGAGGAAATCAACAATCCAAGTAGTGGGATGGAGATTCTTCCTCAGGCTTCCACTTTGAATTTTTAAATTTTCACTCTATTGTCTTTAGAGTGAGGTGCCTTTATTCTTTTTGTCCTTTAATGGATAATGTCACACATGGATTCTTCTTAGCTTTATCTTTACATAAATGAAATGCAATTTTTATGTTCCTTATTTGAGGGGGTTAGAGTCAATTAATTGTCTTTCACGAAACAACTCACATCTAGGAATTAATTTTTCTTTTCTAGCATTCAGTATGTTTAGCCAGGGTACACTCACTGTCTTGGTTCTGGGTTATTTTTCCTTTTACTACAAACAAACAAGGAAAAGCCACTGCCTAAAGAATTCCTGAAGAACGAGAATTTCTTCAATTATTATCACAGCCTTTGACATCAGGAGCAGTATCTACAGAAGTGAAATATCAGCTAAAATCAAAATACTGAAACGCCATTTCATTAGCAAGCTATGTAACTACTTAAAGCAATAATCTGTTTAATGTACCAGGTGTAAAGTATGCATTCACCTCAAGAAAAAAAAAAATCAGAGCTTTCCAGTGGTTACCAAGCAACCAAGAGCAGAAAAATAATATGGAGCTTTCAAAATAGAAATGCAAACCAAAGCTGAAATTAATTATTTAAAAGTCAATCCAGCTGGTTTATCAACCACTCTCTGAAAGCCTTTCTTATAAAAGCTCTTGTTTAATCTCTGACCTCTTAAACAAATCAACAAAAGGAAGGTTGTTTTTGGTTATTTTATAAATAGATGCCTTCCACAGCATATATTCTGAAGGTCTCCACTACTCCAACAGCAGATTTACTGCTCCCTGTTGAAATCTAGGAATGTTTCATTATCCTAAATATTTATCAAGTTTTCTTCAGAGAAAAGGTAAACTTTGTTTCACAAGCAGCTATTAAAACAGTACTCCAAAGAGATAATCTTTTACTCTTCTATATTTCAAGTTAATTAGCTTACAACAAGTTGGCATAATGAATGAGGAGAAGAACAAATTGTACAGTTGTACAAGTTGTTGATTAAACTCCAACTTTCCAGTAAAACACTTAACTCCAGAAACCTTAAAAGACAAAGATCATAATCCAGCTGTTCTTCACTCTGCCTATCTAAGAGATGCACAGATGCTTGGTTCATCACTTTCAGCAGGAACTGTGCACGGCTGTTTGCTCAGCTCCAGGACTTTCTCCGACCAACCAAAGGTAGCTCTTAAGGCACCTTAATGATTCCTCCTTTAGGAGCAAACACTGAATCCCACTGGAAATTCTCATTACCAAAGGGGAAAAACCCCAAAACAATACAACAACAACAAAAAAATGTTCGTGATCCAGACTCAAATGTAGGCTCACTGATTAGCTACAGATGAATACCTAATCTAGTGAAATGTCCTGAGCCATATGCACAGAGACCCAGCTTCAGATGTCCAAACCAGACCCTGACACATGCATCCAGTCTTAAACACTCCTAGCACATCCTCACAGATGTCCTGCTATTGCTTGATAACAGATCAGTTAAAAGCCCAAAAATTTACTGAAAACAGCTCACTTTTCAAAACAGCCAGTCAATCAGACCATTTTACATTCATCTGATTCCTCCTCCTAAATTATACAACCAGGACTACAGGTATGCCTGCAGGTACTTCTCTCTTATTTGTCTTTAAGTATAGCTTAGCACACTTTTAGCAAGAATGCAGCTGGCAGAATCACACAGACATAAAAGCTGCCAGCACTTCCAGTTTTATCACTATTGCATTCTACTACTTCAGTAATACACCTCTAAACCAGTGTCTAACTCTGCTACTTGAAAGAGCTGCAAACATTTGAAATATTTACAACAGAGGGATAGCGTAGGGTGGGGTTCAGGCAGGAGTTGCAAATTTGCGTCTTGTATTTTTAATTGTCTCTTTCATACGTGCAACCAATCAATTGGAAACACTTCCATAATTGTGTAAGACGTGTTGTATATGGGTACAAAACACAACTATTTCAAATAGTGCACAAGAAACAGCACTTTTGACTAGATATGGACAGTCTCCTTGATCTGTATTATTTTTCTTTGGCACACAGACACCACCCAAGAACAAAATTATGTACAATTTAGAACCATAAAAGCCACTGTGAGACTGAACTACATCCAAACAGCACATATTGATTCATAGAGAGCCCTGTTTTTCTCCTCCAAAAATACCATGCATAAATATTGAGACATTTGCTTTTATCTACTTCCATCAAATCCTCAGTAATTTTTAATGAGGTTTCAAATCTTTATATTTCTATGGTTTCTGCCTTCAGGATGCTCTCATCTGGACTGAGTCATATCTCCAAGCATTTTTTTTTCATTTTTGAAGACCATAACAGTAAGACCAGCACCAGGAACCCACAGCTTCTGTCACCCCTCCAATGACTACAGATAATTTCAATTCCTGTCTTATAGTCAACTAAAACCATAATCTAAGTGGAAACTAAAGAATGCACCTTATTTTTTAGTTAAGTGTGTCCCTTCTGAAAAAGTCCTCTGTAATCACAGAGAGTTTTCAAACAGTGACTTATCACACTGAATTAAAAAAAAAAAAGCCTGAGGGAAAGGCTCCCTCTTTGTGCAAGGCAAAGCACAATAGGAGCCTTCTAAATGTCAGCTGACAAAAGTGAAAAAGAAGATGTATCAGTTAAATCCTGAAAAGTTTAAATAGCTCTCCTCTAAAACTGTAAGCCACAAAACACAAGGTTTTTTCCCTGCACTGCAGCCCTGGTGAGAGGATATCCTGCAGACTGCACAGGCAACACAACACCTTCAGGCAGCAACCAGGGGTCTGCACACCCACGGCAGGCGCCTGCCTCTACCTCCATTTTCACTTTCCACCCAAAATTCATCCTCCTCTGCTTCCAAGCAACTCCTCAGTATCGACACGATCAACAGACACCTTCTCATCTGAGTAACATCCTAGTCTGCCATGCTAAGGCTTCTCGGCCCCGAGTTAGTAATTTTTGCATCACCCCAGCCACAATTCTGCGACTTTGCACCCTGCCATCAACTCTTCTGCACAGATCTCTCCAGCGGGGTCAGACTCGCAGAATCAGTCGGGTGTGAAAACACTTCTGAGACCGTCTCTCCAACCTGTGACCAAATGCCACCCTGTCTACTGCACCATGCCACTGAGTGTCACATCCACTCTCCGTAAGCACCTCCAGGGACAGCGACTTCACCACATCAAGCCAGTCAATTCCAATATCCAAGCACCCTGACTCCACCACCTCCTGGCCACTCAATTCCAATATCCAAGCACCCTTTCTGAGAACAAATCCCTCCTGGTGTCCAGCCTGAGCCTCCCCCGGCGCAGCCTGAGGCCACGGCCTCTCTCCTATCGCTGGTTGCACGGGAGAACAGACCGACCCCCACCCGGCCACAGGCTCCGCTCAGGCAGCTGTAAAGAGCAGAAAGGTCCCTCCTGGAGCCTCTTTTCTCCGGGCTAAACATCCCTAGCTCCCACAGCTGCTCCTCACAGGACATGTGCTCCAGACCCTGCACAAGGCAGGGAGAGCTTGAGGGGGAGGGGTGGAGGGGGGGAAAGAATGGGGGACACAAAAAAAATGTACAAAATACAGAGATATAAAAGGAACGAGCAACCCACATGCTGCTGCAGATGCAGCGGCCCTAGCCTCCTCCTGCTCCTCCCCGGCGGCGCCCTGCCGTGCCCGGGCCATGAGGGGACGCCGCCCCGCAAGCAGAGCCTCCCCTGCCTCCATCCCTCCTTCCCCCCCTCCCTCGCTCCCTCCGGGGCGGCCGCTAACGGCGCCCCCGCCCCGCCCGCCGCCCAACGCACCCCGCGGGACCGCCCGGCGCAGCCCCACGCGCGACCGGGACCGGGTCATGGACACCGGGAAGCGCGGAGCATGGCCATGGCTTCCTCCTCCTCCTCCTCCTCCTCCTCCTCCTACCCGCCGCCTCCCACAATGCACCCTGGGCGCTCCCCCGCGGAAGCCACTTCCTCGCCCGAAAGCCGCCCCGCCGCTCCCCCCCCGTCCCCACTCACATCCGTCGATCTCCTCCGGCAGGTCCTCCTCGAGCAGCGACAGATCTGCGGTGGGGGAGACACACACACACACGCACCATGTGCCACTGCGCCCGCCGACCCTCGGGGCCACGCGTGACCCTGCCCCGCCCGCGGGCTGCGCCCCCCCGACGCGACCCGCCCCGCAGCCCCTGCGTTCCGTGCCCGGACAGCGGCGGGCAGCGCTCCCGAAGCCGGGGCGGGGGAGAGGAGAAGGAGGGGGGATAGGGGAGGGAGGGCTGGCGCCTCGCCGGGGAGGCGGCGTGTGCGGGAAGGGGGAGGGGGGCGATGCCTACCCGCCATCTTGCTGCTGCAGCCCCCGCGGGGCGCCCGGCTACATCCAGCCCGCGGCCGGGCGGTGGGAGCGGCGGTGGGAGAGGGCGGGCACCCGTGCGGTCCAGGCCCCGGGCCCGGCGGCGCCTCTCCGCGTCCCCGGGAGAGCCGCGCAGGGAGGGAGGGAGGAGGGAGCGGGCGGAGGAAGGCGGGAGGAGGGGTCTGGGCCGGACACGCTGCCCCCGCCTCCGCCCGGCGGAGCCGCTCTCGCTGCTCGCTCGCTCGCTGGGGCGGCCGCGCCTCCCCTCGCCGCGCTCTGAGTCACGGCCGGAGCCGCCTGGGCTGGCCCTGGGGCTGCGGAGCGCCCGGGCTCGGCCACACGCCCCGGCTCGCTCACCTGTCCTACGCGCTGCTCCGCCAACTCGGGGCTTGGGCTCGGGCTCCTCCTGCCGCCAGCCGGCGGGCTGAGGCGAGGCTACGGAGCTTCCCCTGCCGTGGAGTTTGAGGGGTCACTTGGAGGAAGGGCCCCCAAGGTGCTCCACCGTGGGGGCGCTCCCAGACCCCGTAACGTCGTGGGGTTACCTGGGGAGGAAGGTTTCGTGGTCTACCAGAGTAGTGTGGCCAGCAGGTCCAGAGAGGTGATCCTGCTCCTCCTCCTCGGCTGGGCACTGGTGAAGCCGCATCTGCCGTGCTGTGTCCAGTTCGGGGCTCCTCAGGACAAGAAAGACAAGGAGCTCCTAGAGAGGGTTCGGTGTAGGGCCACGAAGATTATTGAGAGTCTGTGGGAGTTGGGCAATGTTTAGTATGAAGAAGAGAAGACTGAGAGGTGTTCTCATTAATGCATATAAATATCTCAAAGGCAGGTGGTAAGAAGATGGTTCCAGACTCTTTTCAGTGGTTCCCGGTGACAGGATGAGAATGCAATGACCATAAACTGAAACACAAGAAGTTTCACCTCTACATGAGGAAGAACTTCACGCTGAAGGTGGCAAAGCAGTGGAGCAAGCTGTCCCAGGAGGTCATGGAGTCTCTCTCTCTGGAAACATTCAAACCTCACCTGGATGTGTTCCTGCCTCGCCTGCTCTAGGTGACCCTGCCTTGGCAGGGGGTTTGGACCAGATGATCTCCAGAGGTCCCTTCCAAATCTAATGGTTCTGTGGCAGGTAGCCGTGCCACTACCACTGTGTAGCCCACGAGCATCCTCCTCATGTGAATGGCCAAGTTTCTGCAGCTGGGATCCCATGGCTTAAACACACAGGATATTGCCCCACTGCAATGCTCTGCCTTCTGACTTCTGCTTTAGAAACAGGCAATTTAGTTGTACATAGACACGAAGGTTCACATGGTTTTCTGCTTTTTTGGCTGTACCTTTTGGTCACTGCTGATGGTTCTCATTTCAACTGTTTTAATAGATTTTTTCCACTGTAAATTGGAATATTAAAACCATTGGATGAAACAAATGCTCTATTCAGCTGATAACCAGGGCACTTGATAGAGGAAAGGACCAGTACTGGTACTAGTGCTACCTGGGAATATTACTTGAGTCTTCCACAATCTTGTTTTAAGCCTCCATAATAATTGATGAAGTTGTTAATACACAGAAAAGCAAAATAAATTATTTCTTGCTTGCAAAAAAAGATGCGATTTCATTAGCAGTGTTTTTAACTGTGTTTGATAGTATGTCTTGTAAGCTGCTTTTTAACAATTTTTGGTTTTATTTGGTGAATTGTACAAGGATTAAATTGCCATAGTCATTCATTCTATTTGCCATGGTGAATGAAAATGTGTAATCTTCTTTTAAAATCCATACCTCCCTTTCCTTATAATCCTGTATAACAGGCTCTGTCCTATTTGACACCTGTTCAATCTTTGGATGAGCCACTGGGGCCTAGTGGATACTGATTATCTTACATTTTCTTTTGTTCAGATATATAACCTCAAAAGCTGAGTAAATCAAGTAAATTCACCATGACTTAAGTTATATGAACCATGCTATTCTCTGCCAGTGTAATTTAAGAAGAGATTGAGGGGAAATATTTGACATCACAAATCTCTGGTAATGCTGTATGTGATAGCAATAGACTTAGAACAGAAAAGTTAGGTGTACTTCAAGACCTCATTTTATTATCTTTATTACTGCAAGTTATTTCCGGGAAGTTTTCTTGCATCTCCTCTGCATTGTTCACCATAATCAGTTTTGCTCCCACTGAATTCAGTAGAAGTGAATCTAAGAATGTCTCTCACAACTAAAATTTGATGCACTTAGTTTTACTGAATGAATCAAGGGGTCTGACTCCTTTTTTCAAGCATTTAGGAAAGGGCAGTAATGCTCACAAACCACAGATTACTGTGGTCTGAGAGCACCAAAGCTACCTTAAGCATTATTAGGGTTATCATCATAAGGAGAACATAATGAGATACATCTATGAGACTGGGCTTACAATGACCAGAATTAGTGCTCTTAAAAGTATTAATAGTGTTAATTATCATAAATTAATTATTTCTCCATATATAATTGCCTCTAGAGTATTTAGGAGTTTTAAAAATTTCTATGTGTGTATTTGTTAAAAGAGAGGAAGCGTAATTTATTGAATCAAGCAATGACAATTGCAAGCAGTCATACTGAACATAAGATCATATAAATTAATTTTGAATCTTCCTATGTGCTTGTGATCTTCAGTGGTTGTTGGTTCCTTCTCTGTATGCAGGACCATGTGGTATTTAAATAGCACAGATAACAAGGATCAGTGTGTTAAAAAAGATAATTGTTCAGGAATTGCAGGGGGTTTTGTGCTTAGTGTTATCTCTAGAACATCAGACTTTGCTCCTCAGGCACAGTTGGGTCCAGCATCATCACTAGGAGCCACCAGGAAAGGTCTCATCCTCCATGAGCAGGAACTCTGGCAAAACCTTTGGTTCATACAGTGACAACAGTACGGTAGGGGGAAATAATGTCATTAAAACAAACAAACTAAAAGGCTTAATGCCAACACTCAATGAAAAATTCCATTTAATGAATAAGTAACCAGGTACTTCTAAACTTGTTGGCCTCAGTAAATCCAGAAGTACTTCTTCAGGGTCTGATCCAAAGTTCAAGTTGATGGTAAGATTCCCTGCCACTGGTCACGGATAAGGCAGACAGAGAACCTTGTAAGTGTAGGACAGATGCAGACTTTGGCAGATGAGTGGCCATTCCAAACCAGCACACCACATGGAAGAAAATTTTCCTGACAACCTTTTTTTATTAGATGAGACCTGATAAGGAGCAAGTAATGTAACATTTACCAAAAAACGTTCTAGTAGATTTTGTGCTGGAGTTCTCATAGTTAGCTTAAGTACCCTTACAGGCACTGGGAAGTAAAGAACTGAAGAATGATAAACTCACATTCTCACACTCTATCTCAAGGAAAAAACACACTACAAACACTACACCACTGCTTCAAGCTAGGGATGGAAGGATACAAATGGAAGACTCCTTGACAAGATCCTTTGCACATGATAAAAGACACCTGCATTGTTATCTCCAGGATGTATCTCAAAAAAGTCCATAGCAGTCAGCAAGACATTTCCATAAAGTACAAGTGTAGTATTTACATAAAGTACTACATAAATCCTTTCAAACTTGCATGTTAAACACAAGATACCTGACATCCACCTAGACATACTTGCAACAAGTTATCCCATAGTTTGATTGGTGATATCTTTTCTTTTAAAACTGTTCTGGGTCTAAGGACCTCAGGCTCAAAAACACTGCTGCACATGGAACTCACCCATGTTATTTTATTTATTATCTAAGGTATTATTATCTATTTTTGCTCATTTGCTTGAAGAAGCAGGTCTGATCAGATAGTGTCAGCTTTCAATGTCCATTTATTAAGTTGTTTTGCATTTCTCCCAGGCTACCTTCATGTGTGGGAAGAGCTTCCCATAAACATCTGCAGCCATCTCCCTATCCTCCTTTGGATTCCTCCGTGAAACTCTCTTTTCCTGTGAAGCCTATCAAGAAATGGATCAGGGTTAGACTGCTGGTGCACCAAGGCAACTGCTTACCCTCTTGAGTAATCCTGACTCATTGTCTTCTTGGCCACCCACCCCCAGGATTCCATCTGCCTGCAGGTGTTGTCCTTGATGGTTCAACCATTCACTCTCTGCTTTTGGGACCATCGTTTTGTTCTTTACAGAGTGTTTAACCAAATTTGGCCCATCAGTAAACATACAGATTAAGATACATGTACATACAGAAGCACACACATACCTTTAATATGTAGGATACATGTGAAAACCCAGCGGCTGAAGCCTGGGATTTACAGTAAATTTGCATTTGACAATGTAGTAAAGCATTTCTGCTAAAAAGAGGTGTTCATCATAAAATGTTTCTTTTCTTCTCCTTTCCCTTTTCCTTCTCTTCTTCCTTTCCCTACTCCTTTTTTTCCTCTCCAATAAAAATACTGGAGAGGGGTGGTGTTTTGTTTGTTTTGGTTTGGATTTTTTCATATATCTGTATTCCTTGTGGCTGCAAAAGTTTTTAACTGTGCATCACTCAGTTTTGTTTAATTTTTGTTGTTTCCTGGGCAAGAGTTTGAGCTGGTGACTACTGGCAAACCTTAGCATTAAAGTTCAGCTACCACTGCTCTCAGAGAAGGCCTTGCAGAAGGATTTTAAACACAAAAGATGCCAACCATGAATAAATTAACACCTACATTTGCTGAGAAAGAGCCTGGTTAATATAAAGTTTGCCTTGTGGGTTCCTCATGTCATTCCAAGTCAACAGCAAATTCTGTGGAAAGTTCAAGTGACACTCAAACATCTTAAAACTAGGAAATACCTAGGGTATTTCCTAGGTACATCCCTAGGTACATCCCAGTGTGGAATTAAGGCTGCACCTGGAGCTTGCAGTGGCTTTTGGCATTAATTTTCAAGTAAATCTCTTGCATTGGTGACATGGAGATAGCAGCTGTGTAGGCAAAAGGAAGAGAGGCATGCAAGTCAGGAGACAAGTCCTGATGCCTCATTTTTCAATTCAGACCATGACCAGGAGTGTTGATATCCACAACTGCTTTGGCCAAAGACCAAAGAAAGAGTGCTCTCTCATCTCAATGGCAGTGAAGTGAAAGTCTCTGTCTGTATCTGACCATTCAGGTGCTGAAGTTGATGGTGAAATAAC